TGGCTTTGTCAAGCTGCTGCCTACCTTTGTGAAGCAAAGGTAACTTTTTTTTAATAAAAAGTTCTACTGGATAACAAAAATAAAAAAATTTTCTTGCCTACCAGGAGTGGGTGACAATAGTTGAATAAACTTATGGCTCTCAAAATGGTATCTGTGCCCTATTTGTTGGTACTTGCCGATACCGATACCACCATTTTAGGGCAGTATCGGGGCCCCGTCCGATACTGGTATCGGTATCGGTGCAACACTAGTAAAAACTGGAAGTCTGTGCTACCTCCATACCGTCCAGCTCCAAGAGAAAAAAATGCTTATCATAAGCCAGGTTCTTCACTCTACGCATCAACAAGGAAGCCGTTTCAGTCCAGAGCTGCTGTGTCCTGTAAAGAAACGCTGTGCCGTCTGAAGCCGAAACGCAGTTATGCGACTCCTCAGGTCAATCAGTCCCTGACCTCCTTCAGACACAGGTAAAAAAAATACTGCAGATTTAATCCAATGATATCCATTACAAAAAAAATCCACCAGTTTCTTCTGTATTTCTTTAATGACTTTGTCTGGAGGAACTACGACCATGGCACGGTGCCAGAGCATAGATGCAGCCAGACAGTTGGCGACCAAAGTCCTCCCCCTGTAGGACAACTGGGGCAGGACCCATTTCCATCTAGACATTCGGGCGCTTATTTTCTCAACTAGACCCTCCCAGTTTTTGGACTGAAAATGTTCATTTCCCAGAAACACACCTAAGACTTTCATTCCCTCTGTGCCCCACTGCAGCCCTGCTGGTAAGGTTGGCTGCTCTTTATTGCTCCACTCTCCCAGTAGAAGTCCCTCACACTTTGACCAATTGACCTTAGCAGAAGAAGCTTGTTCAGTCCACCTTGGAAGTGTGTTCAACAGAGATGGTTTCTCTCTAAATAGGTCAGGCACAAAACGGCTGATATCAAACATTTTCTATTCTGTGAACCATGCACCATCAGCTTTGTCCCAAAACAAAGCTCAACCAGTGCTTAAAACAAACGATAAGCCCAGTACAACCCGAACCAGCCAAGATAAAGATGGCCAGAAAGATGACACAGAAAGAGCCTATGTCAGAACTACAGGAGGATTCATCTCAGATCTCAGCAGGACAAAAAGAGGACTCCCCTTTAAATTCCAAAAAGAACCATAAACCTCCATCCCCTTGGACACCTGTCTGACTGCACCCACCCCCCCCCCTTCTCCACAAAGCCCAGATGTTCCTTTTCTGGAATTTTCTTATAACATTAACAAAGTTTTTAAGATTGGCCTACAGTTAACATCCTCTCCATATAGCCATTCTAAAAACCGCAGCTATTTGACAAAGCCAGCATCTTCTAAAAGCCGCAGAGCCCCAGATCCTCCTCTAAGTATGGAACATGCCTGTCCTCAGGACCTTCAGATAACTTTTCCGTGATATACACCGGGCCCTGGCAACAAGCTTATCAGACATAGTTTCCAGCATCAGCTTGGGCCTTTTACCGGAGATTATGGAATATCTGTGATGATACATTGCAGAAATAAGAAAAACAAAATGGGAACAAACAGGAACAGACACTTACGAGTCCTAAACTGTCAGATGCAGCCTGCCACAGAGACAACATCAACCACTAATTCATATAAACTGGCTTTATTAAACATTAGATCTCTGTCAGGAAAATCCCTTTTAATTAATGACTTCATTATTGACAATAATGTTGATGTTATGTTTTTTAACAGAAACATGGTTACATGGACTTAATGAAGCACATATTCTGTTGGAGTCGTCTCCTCCAAACCACAATTTTCTTTGTCAGAGCAGACAGCAGGGTGCAGGAGTGGCCACATTGTTTAATGATTCACTGAAGTGTAAAAAGGTGTTTTTGGGAAAATTTGACTCTTTTGAACATTTGGCTCTCCAGGTAAAGAGCCCGGTATGAACTATGTTTCTAAATGTTTACAGGCCTCCTAAGTCCACATCAAATTTTTTTAATGATTTTAGTGACCTCCTGTCTGTGATATGCCTTGATTATGACTGCTTAATTATTGTGGGAGACTTTAACTTTCACGTTGAAAACCCTGAAGACAGAACAGCAAAAGAGCTGTGTAACACGCTTAGAAATTTTGGTATAACTCAACATGTAAAACAACCAACGCACAAAAGGGACATATTTTAGACTTGATCATCACAAGGTCTGAGGATTTCTAAAGTCAGTGTTACTGATGTTGCCCTATCTGATCACTTTTCTGTTACCTTTTCAGTATTTTATGTTCTTGGACTTTGCTTCAGTTGCCTTTAGTAACCTGATTATATCTACAAAACTCACCTTGGCATTTTGGGTCCTCAAAAACCTCCACTCAACCATGACAGATGAAACCAGCCAACATGGATCCAGCAGAGCCACCAATTGGTAAGGCAAGTGATTTTTTTAAGGCTCTTAAGAGGCAAACTAGATAACTGTCCTACAATCAGTCCACCTTGGAAGTGTGTGAGTGCTGCTGAAGAAGTAATGAAGATACTACTGATGTATCCAGAACTCTTCTTTCTTCAGACAGGCTACATTGCTTTAGCTGAGTGGAACATACAGGACGCCTTCTCTTAGCTCCTGAAAAAATCTCCGCCACCCAAACCATCACTCATCTGTTTACCTGTTCCCCCTGCTGCTCTTCCCCCACTATCTCCTATGTGAAGGCACTGTCGCCTGCAGAAAAATCCTACGGCTTCTCCATCGGGTCAGTGTGACGGTGCCACTTCCTCTTCAGCGGGTGGGTCTGACAATGCCACTCATTCTCAAGCAGGTTGGTTTGACGCTCCCACTTCTATGGGTCAGCCTGCTGCCAACCTTTCATTGCCACCAAGCCAGGTATGTTTTCTTTGTGGTCTAAGCCGCCACATGACTCCCATGCTGTCTCTACCTCTTAGGACTTAAACACGTTCAATTGGCCCTAGACTGTCTCAAGTTTTAAGATCAGATCCCCCACAACTTAAAAATCAGAACTTTTTTTTTATTGGGAGAATGAGGATTTTTTTCCACCTCCATTAGCTCCAAACTTTCTGAGCCAGAGACCCTTAGTGGGCCAGTTTTCTTGCCAGAGCCACTTAGTGGGCCAGTTCCGGTACCAGAGCCACTTAGCGGGCCAGTCCCTGAGCTAAAGCCCTTTAGCGGGCCAGTCTCTCCAAGCTAGAGCTCCTTAGTGAGCCAGTCCTCCCTTTTCCTCAGTCAGCTCCTCTCAGTGTCATAGCCACTCAGTCAGCTCAACCCACTGTCCTAGCACCACAGTCAGTCCCTCTCAGTTCACCCTTTCAACAGTCAAACCCTGTTGACCCTGCTGGTGTGCCCCCTCCAGAGTCAGAAGCTGTTCGTGTTCTCACTCAGTCAGATTCTCTTAGCACTTCTCCTCACTCAGACCCTATTGGCATTTTGCCAGAGTCAGATCCTCTTTTTGAGCACGCTCTATGCCATCCAGAGCCCCCTGACCATGCTTTGTGCTGTTCAGAGACCCCTGAACCCAAAGGTGGATCGTGTTGTGAAACAGAGCACTGTGAGAGCTCCTAGGGGTGGGGGGTTGGGGTGGGCGGGGTCGGGGGTTGGGGTGGGTGGGGTCGGGGGTTCTGGCTGCAGGGGCACTGCTAGGAATTTGGGGCCCTGTGGAAAAGATTGGTATTCGGACCCCCCTAAATTAAAAAGAAATTATGCAAGCTTTAAAACTGGTTTAAAGATTTACCGAAGAGTATTATTTACATTTTCAAGGTAGTTTGTACAGTAAAATTTCTACAAAGAAAAATTATCCTAACACTAAAAAGTTTAATGTACTTTCATTTTAAACTTTACATTACAAATGATCCTCTCAAAATAATAAGCTTATTTAAAACAAAACACATAGATGTCTAGTTAAATATCTAACTGAACTATTTTAAGCTTTCTGGCTCAATTGTTTGGCCTCTGTGTTAGTTACAGACACACAATAGACTCAATAAATTCTGGGAAAATCCTGGATTAATTGTTACTGAAAAATGAAAACAAAACAAAATAATAATAAAAACTTGCAAATATTTTCCATTTAAGACGCACAGTACTTGGATCAGCATCATTAATGATGTGATTCCCCTCCGACCCTGAGGAAGAGTTGTATCCAGCAGATAGCTTGCTCATTTTACTCAACAGATCTATAATTTGAACTATTCAGGAAACAAAGCTTTCTTGAAAAATTGGGTCATGGTATTGAACGCCTTTCTGCTTTCTTTCTGTTCTTTTTTTAAAACCAGACTTTTGATTTTTTTGGGGTGCTGCATTTTTCAGCCGTGGATGGTTTTTCAACACTGCTGCTTATTTACTCATTTTATTGTTCATTAGTTTTATTTTATGTCTCTGTGTCAAATGATGTGCGTGTGGTACTAAAGCCTCTGTACCAGAAGACTGCTGCTGATAGACGGGGAGATCTGATGCGCCACGCAGGACCTGAAGACCAAACCTTTTATCATATTGTTTTATATCTGAAATGTATAGCGCTGCATATATTTTCTGCCTGACAACCATATCCCGCCCCATCGTAAAAGGCGCCCCTGCCTGGCTGAGTACTTTAATATAAATGCATATATTAAAATCTTATTAGAAGTTGTAGGTAATTATTAAGAATAGCTTACTAAAATATTTGACTTTTTAATGACTGTTCTAACTGCTCTAACTCTAGACACCCTCATTACCAATCTGGTCGATAAGTAATCTAGTGTTGCAACATACTTTGGTAAACATGTTTGTCAGGGTAAAGATCAGAAGATTGTTTGATTTCAGGATTCTTTAAAGTCTGTTTTGCCAATGATTTACTATATTTTAATGTAGTTTGTTTAGAGTGTTTATGTTGTAAAGAGAATCCTAAATAATCTGTTTTAAGAGATTAATAAACAAAGGCATATCAAGCGAACTCTGTTCCAGGAACAGTATGACCCAATTTAGTGAGTAAAGTTTCCCAGAAAAGCTGGGAGTGTAAAGTTTCCCAGTTTACTGATAAAGTTTCTCAGATTGCTCACTTCAGTAGACACACCCCCATACCTCTTTAAAAGCCCCATATTTCCCAGTACTATCCATTTCATTAGACAGACCTGGAGGTATACCTATCCACTCCATCAATATGATCTGGGTAAGTCCTTTGATAAAACAAGGTTCACATAAAATATTTTGTACATAACATTTATATGACAGACAAAAACCTAAGTAATCAGTATAAAATATATGCAATTATTGCGAAATATTAATATTTTAAGTAATAATACACTCTTGTTGGATGTCTTAATTAAAAAATGTTGCATCTCTTATGCCTTTAAATTCTTAATTCAAAATTCAATAATTTCCAGATTTTCACCATTAACTTTTTAAATTAGAAATAGGTGTAATGTTAAATTTACGATTTAAGTCATAGAATGCTTAACCTGAATATTCTAGCTTGTAATCATTTAGTTAGTTATCATGTATCATAAGCAATCAGACTGTGTTTTTTATTGTATCGCTGGTTGTTCTTTCTTACTTATTAACAGGAACTTAAGTGAACCACTTGATTTCAGACTGAAGGTCTTTGTAAACAAACAGCTGAGAGAGCAGATCAGCTATTAGTTTTGATATTTTATGCGTTTAGAATCAGAGCATTTCATTAAACAACTTTGTGTAATTGTTAGACTCCATAGATTGTTGTTGTAAAACAGCTTTTCCTCCAGGGAGACCTTAGGAGTTTTAATAACTGAGTGCCCCAAAGAATAGAATCACAGAGAATGTTTGTAATTTTACCATTTTTCTTTAGTTTGTGCATAGTTTTACTAAGTACTCAGGAAGAATTAGAAAATAAGTTGGGTTTGTGGACGAGTAGCAAAGGTTTATAAAAATAATATAAATACTTATCTTCTCCAGGTGGCATTACTTTTAGGTCAGCTGCTTCTTGCAGTCGCAGTTCAGTCAAACTCCAAGGCTTACCTGCCATTGGATTGTGATGACATTTATCGATGTGACAACAAGAGCAACAGTGGGGTGTACACAATCTACCCAGGAGGACCAACCACACCATTGCATGTCTACTGCGACATGAAAACTGATGGGGGGAGATGGACTGTAAGTATCATATACAGCTTAGAAATAAAAAAAAAAAAGCTACACAATTTTATACAATAACTTTAAAGCAAATAGATTTTGTAAAATTAAATGCTTGTGTAACTTTGTTAATTAATCATATAACTTTCACACTATTATTGTGTGAACACACACCCAACTGCCTGGGTGTAAGAAGAACAAATGAAAGTGGGATTTAAGCGCAATCAGGGTCAAACTGTTAACTTTACACAAATATGGAACAAATTCACAACAGCTAACTTTCACAATATGAGTTTATGAACAAAAATCCTATAACTCAAAGTCCAACATATTTATGTTAAAAATTCTTGACTCAACTTGTGTAACTCAACTAAACTAAGCTGCTATTTACACATGGCAAAGAAATTAAAATGGCTGAAAACCATTAATTATTCCACCCCAGTGCCTGGGCCCCGGAGGGGAAGACTACTACTTCTGCTGGGGCCTGAGTGCCAGCGAACTTATTCCTTTTATGTCATTATCTTCTTCCATGTCCTTGATCCCCAGTTAGCCTTGGCAGATGTTATCAATCCTAATTTATTACTGTGATTGGTAATCATTAATCATCTACCAAAACACAAAAAACCCTCTATATAATAAAGCAGTTAACTCAAAAGAGTAAGTTATCACTGGTCATATAGACAGCAGTTTACTTCAATAAAAGAACCACAGACAAATATTCTTTATCTATGCTGAAATTGATTCAACAAATTAGTTTCTATTATAAACAATTATTCTGTTCAGTATTATTATAAAAACTTATTACACTGGTGAAAGAAGAAACAAAAACAAAGGGAAGTAGGAAAAATGGTAAAACAGCCTGTGTTTGTCCACTGTAACACTTTCTTTCCTAGTCAGGAGAATTGACCAAAGTGCTTTACACTACATTCTGTCATCCAAACACACATCTGATGATGACAAGCTACATTGTAGCTACAGCAGCCCTGGGGCTCACTGAGAGAAACGGGGCCCTCTGACCACCATCGGTAGGCAACGTGCATAAGATGTCTTGCCCAAGGACACAACGACATTGAAAGACAGAGCTGAGGTTTAAACCACCAATACTTCAGTTGCAGAGCAAACACCTGCATCTGACACCACTGTCACCCATAGAATTCCTGCCAGCCACATTATAAATTTGTTTAGTTTTTAGACAGATAAACAATTGATTATGTTTTGGGTTAATTTCAACTTTAAATAATCAAACCAGCTGTCACACAATAAACACAATAAATATTCAACACAAAGTTCAACCAAACTTCTTCTGGAGTGCAGTACACTGCCTGGCCAAAAAATAGTCATGACCAAATAAAAAAAACAATGATTTTTAATTCTTCAGCTTGCATTTGATTTGGCATTTTTTCCATTAGCTTCTGCAATGTCACAAGATTTATTTCCACCCAATGTTGCATTAATGTTTCACCAAGATCTTGCACTATTAATAACTGAATTTCATTGATTTCACATTTGATAAATTTACCTCTGCATTTAACTCCCCTTTGGGCACAATGAGCTTCCAATGTGTGGCACCTGGGAGCAGTGTTGGATTAAGGGTCTTGCTAAGGGTTCCAGAGCACCGGCTGTGGGAACCAAGCTGGGTATTGGCAACCTTCTCAGAGCATAAACGCACTGCTCTAACCACTAGACCAACACTCCCCAAGGTCTTTACTGATGATACATTAGAATCTGATTTCTAAACAAAGTCTTCCAGCACATACCAAAAATTCTTAATGTCCTTAAGGTCTGGACACTGTGGTGGCTAATGCTCCCTGAACCACTCTTTCAAAATTCTGATGAGTCTTGGCAGTGTCATCTTGGAATATGTGCATGCAGTAAGGGGAAAAAGTTTGTCATTCAGTATATCCAGGTAGTAGGCTGAATCATTCTTTAAACTCAAACTATTGCTGAACCAATACCTGATCAACTGCAGGCTCTAGGCATGATGGGTGCATAATTTCACCTGCCTCTCTTCAAGACCATATAACCTACATTAGGCCAGAGTAGAATTTTTATGCTCCCAAACAAATGTAACTGTCATAAAAACGGAAGTAATGGACCTAGTATTCAAGGTGAGACAGTCAGTAGGAAAGTTCAAAACATTTAATATAAACAAATAAACTGAAACTAAAGTGGAGCTGCTAGGATCTGCGGCTTATGGATGCTGCAGGAGGGGGGCACCGTCTAACCTCTGACACTCTGTGGGAGAAACACAGGTAAGTGACCACGATAATCTGACAGAAGATGTTGATCTCAGTGAGTCACTTACCTGGTTCAACAGTCCAGTCCATCTTCCTCGAAAGGGGCGCAATCCAGTCGCTGGACTGAAGGCAGACGATGCGTCATTCTGAGTGTCCCTGGTGCAGCAGTCCAAGAGGACTTGCAGGAAGCCGATCCTGTACAGGGATTCAGAACAGGCAGGAACAGACAGGATCCAGACTTCCAGGCATTATGCGCTCCCAGGCAGGTTCAAAGTCCAGAAGCGTGACCAGGCGAACACCCGCACAGGAGCAGACAGGATCAGATGCAGACGGGCAGGCTCAGTGGAAGAAGGTAGCTCAGACAGGATGTGGAACCAGAACTTGAGCAGGACCTTTAAACTCGTCTCCACCTTGCAGCCATGCTTAGTGGAATAAAAACTGTACCTCCCCGCATAAAAAGCCAAAACCCCCTGAGGACTCAGCAGTGAAGGAACAGTGGATGAGCAGGAGAAAAGATAGACACAAAAACCCTCCTTCCACTGGCTGCCAGGATCCAGGACATGAACCTTGGTACAAACAGAATTCAACAGAAAACATCTAATGATCTGGCCAGGATAGCAGGAACTGAGCCCAATATAAAGGAAACTGGCAGGTGGAATAGATGAATGATAATTAGGAGCTGGAAAGAGTGAAGCAGGTGAAAGGCATGAGTAATGAAGGCCAGCTACGTACCACAGCAGATCATGACGGTAACTATTTTTTATCTAATTTGGTTCCCCACTATTCTTCTTTTCTTTACCAATGCTTTGGACAGTCCTTAACCCAATTTTGGGTCTCTGCTATCTCCTTAGATGTTTTCTCTGTTGGATGCATGGCAATGATTTGACACTTCTGAAACAGACTGACATCTTTTCCATAACAGCAGGATTTGTCATTTGATATGGTTGTTTGAAAAAGTAACCTTCACTGCACTAGTTTGATAACCTTTTGCTTTCTAAAATGTAATTGCATATGCAGTAATCATCCAATGGAAGGCTGATACCTATTTGCATAGGAAAAAGCAGGTGGCACATTTTGTTTGGTCAGTCAGTGTATAAACCTTCTTATTAGCTACATTGCCAGGCATAGTTAAAGCAGCAAAGAAAAAGAAAAGGAAGTTATCTTCAAGGTTAACCACGTGTTTCCAAACACATGGGGCTTAGCTGTGGTAGAAATATGTCCCTTTGGTGTAGCAGTGAGCTGCCCCACTTTGTATAGTATGGTGTGACATCGGAGCTGCAAACCATGCTCGAAGGTGTAGTTAAAGATTATTTGGTGTTATCACCAAACATTGTTCAAATCACACATGTACATCACATCAGCATTTAGCTCCATAACTTTAGCAATAGTTTTTTTCCTCTTAAATCTTTGGCTTAAGACATAACATAACATAAAACATTTGGTTAATTCCCCACTAATTCTATGAAGAGTTGTACTGATTTAGTAAAAACCCAAAAAAAAATGATGTTTGCATTCCAATAAACTTTGAACTCAATTCTTTAGGTGTTTCTCAGGAGGGTTGATGGGACAGAAAGCTTCTTTAGACCCTGGAAGCATTATAAGGCTGGCTTTGGGAATATAGCTGGAGAGTACTGGCTGGGTAAGAAGAAGAAAAATGTTACTTAATTATGGTGTGAAAATCCATGCTCTTTTAATTTAAGATTAATAGCACTTCAAATTCAAACTTACATGTTTTTAAAAATAGTTAATCAGATAAGATAATATTTTTTTGTTTTCTTTTTAGGCTTGGAAAACATATTGCTTTTGACAATGAGGAAGGAGAATGAGCTTCGTGTTGATATGGAGGACTGGGAGGGAGCAGATGCTTCTGCTCAGTATTCCACTTTTTCCATCGACTCTGAGAATAATGGATATCAACTTCACCTGGGCAGCTTCACTGGAGGAACAGCAGGTGATTGTCTTTGTGTGGGTCTTAATTTGTTGGAAGGATGAATGTCTCAGCCCTGATAAAGTTAGATTTACAGTTGAAGAATTCCGCCCATAGACTTACATTATAAAATTGAAAACCTGAAAAAATGTGAGTAAAGTTTGAATCCCAATTTTATAAAAACTCTAAAAGATATCACAAAGTTGAGCTATATCAGAATAGCTGAATCTTTAATGGACATTTTAAAAGTTGAATAATGTTTTTAGCTGAAAGTATGCTGAAGTAGTTAAAGTTCAAAGATGGTGAAGTTTTAGATGAATTTTGCTGAAATCTAAGAATTCTACATGCATTTCAATTGACAAAAAAAAATGCTGAAAAAGCTGAATATAGCCAAAAGACATAACAGAATTCTCCTGAACAAGCTGAACAAGCTGATCGGTTGAAAACTGCATGACTAGTTACAGTCCAAAAATTAAAAAGAGCAAAACAATAAAAAAAAATCTAAGACTTATAGACATGGCCAGATTTTAACAGCTATGCGGAGACATGGGATTAAGATAGACAACTGATAGCAGATTAATAAACCATCATAATCAACGACTTTAATTACAAAGCATTTTAACTCCAGCTACAGCTAATACAAAATATTGATCATCAAAAGCAATAAAACAAAATGGTATAAAATAGTACAAACTAAGCACACAATATTAAATTAATAACCTTACTACAAAAGATAATGAAAATGCAAAGAACAGATGAAAACAAAGCTTGTATTAATAAAGAAAAATTTTATTTCAATTATGATTAAGGTCAGTGAGTTAAAGTAAGTTAAAAAGTTAACATAGTAAAACAGCTAGATAAACAGAATAAGAAGTCACGAAGTTACTTGTAATGACTAGGCCACATTTAGAGTAGAAAATAAACAATATGTCTGATCAGGAAAACACCACATCAGTTTTGATGCCTTGCAACAATTTTCAGCCTGCTCAACTCTAGTGTTTAAAGGGAACTTATACTTGGTGCTTTAAGCTTCTTAAATAGAAAACGTTTTCAGGAATGTAAGAATTACTAGTCTCTGACAATTGGAAATAAATGAAATTGAATCATACAGCAGCGTAATTGTTTCCCTTCAAAGCTGTAAATGAACTGCAAATTTAACAAAGACAATTAGCAATTTTGAATAATCTGTCACTAAAATCTGCCTTTTGTCACCTCTGCCATTTGTTCTGCTTTCTTCTTTTAGGGGACAGTCTATCCCAGCACAAATCTATGAAGTTCACTACTTTTGACAAAGACCAAGACGCGTGGGACAAAAACTGCGGCCAGCACTTTCTGGGAGGATTCTGGTACAATGCCTGCCACCATACTAATCCTACTGGGATGTATGCACCTCATGGTGCCATCGGGCATGATAATGTTCAAGTGGTTTGGAATGCTTGGAAGGGCTGGAATTACTCCCTTAAAACTATTGCAATGAAGATCAGACCAGTAGTCAAATGTTCATGCACACTTTAGCTTGTTTAGTTTTAGATACACAAAATAATTTGAAAATTACCTGGGAGTTTGGATGTAGATATAGAATTTCCTGGATGCATTTTGTAAAAAATCCAAAATACAAGCAGCGCAGATAGCTTGATGGGAGGGAAGGACGGACAGAAACAGCTGACCGCAGTGGTTAAGCAAGCAATCCATTTACAGAGGCTTTGTTCTTTGATGTGGCCATCACAGATTGAAGTCTTGGCCTGGTGATCTCCATTGCATGTCCTCCCCCTTCTCCCAAGTTTCATTTCCTGTCTGCCTACCATCAAAAAATAAAGGTCATGATTACCTTTTAAAAAAATGTTTGGATCTCTCATGCTTTTGGTTCTGTTTAAGTTTTCTCTTTTAGTTTTCATTGGTTTTATTTCCATTTTATGTTATTCTAGGTATTTGTGATTTTATTTGAGTTATTACGTATTTCTTGTTTGCCCCTTTGTTGCCCTCCTGTGTTAGTCTCCTTAACCCTAGCCCCCTACTAGATCCCTCTGACCACACCTGCTCCCAATCTGCTGATTAGCCTGGTCTTTGTTTCTGTCTCCTATTTATACCCCCCTAGCTCAGTCGCTGTGCTGTTTCAGTCTTGTTCCTGATCATTGTTTATTTTGCCTTGTGTGTGTTTTCCCTGAAGTCATCGACCTCTTGTTTTTCTGAATTTGTTATTTTTGGATTTTTGCCTCAGTTGCCACTCTTTTTGGATAAATAAATCAGCAAGAAACCACTTAAGCTTCACTCTCTGCATTTGGGTTCTCTTCAACCCTCCACCCACCATGACAGACTGTACAGAGTAGGCTTGAACTACTCTAGAAGACCTGAGAGGTCTTGGAGGTTGATACATTGACAATAAATCCTTTATGTATTGAGGTACGGATCCATCCAGTCTATTCTCTGAGCTACAGGGAGCCAATTGAAGGACTTCAGAACCGGGACAATGTCCTCTACTTACTTAGTTCTGGTGAGAATAGGGGTAGCACATTTTCTTTAAATCATTAAGCCAACCAAGACCAGTGATGGGACTAACGGCGTTGAAACTAACGGCGTTACTAACGCCGTTACCTTGTTTTAGTAACGAGTAATCTAACTAATTACTTTGACTGTAACTATAACGCAGTTACCATTGCAGACACCCCGTTACTGCGCGTTACTCAGGTCGCACAATGAACCTTTTTTCATGATAGGACTCGTGCGCAGCTGCGTGAAGCTGACACCCCACCCACGTCAAAAAAACTCTGCAAATAGACTGAATGGTTAGTGCAACGTTAGTGCAGATTTGTGCAGAAAAAAATATTGTTTGTGCTACTTTTGTTTAAGAGATATTAAAGATTTATTTTAGGTCATCCAGAGGTGCGCGCCTTGTCATGAGAGAGGGGAGGATGAGAATCCGTCTGTCAGTTGAATAGGTTGGTGTTTCTGCTGGTGGGTGTTAACGTACAGCACACACAGAGAGATGGAGAGTGAGGATGACTCCAGCAGCAAAACAGCGTTTTCCACATGGAAATACCGGTGTTACGTAGAGCTGCGTTTCCCCATCACATAACGGTTTCCTCTGCATCTCCACACAGCGCAGGCGGTGTCGTGCCAAACGAGTTATCCCCGACAGAATTTGTATCCCCTGCGTCGGGAGCGCGCATTCAGCTCCGCCTCATTACCAACACATTAGGCGTGGAAATAAAGATATTTTTCACTTGTTAGTGCTATCGTAAGGGATTCAGCTTAAAACTAGACTAATCACTAAGTATAACACGTTCTGAGAAAGCAAACGGCTCTGTGGTATTCTCCAGATGTGTAACGAAAATATAAGGTTTATGTTATTCGATTGTCGCATGACTGTCGCATGTCTGTCTGTTGAAAATAAAAATCGACCTTTCTGAGTCCATCACAGCTGTCTACTTTTTCGTTGTTATTTTTGTGTGTGGATAGAACCGCATGAATGTATTATATAAAGCTAATTTCAAGTTTGAATAAATGAATAGTGAAGAAAGTTACTGCCAAAATGATCAGATCTAATGAGATTTTAATTCAGCCAAGAACCATATGAAGAACACAAGATGTGTCACTTAAAAAAATAACAATATATGAGGAGTTTTTAAAAAACTACTTTATTGCAATTTTATTAGAATAAGATGTTAAAAAATATTTGGACTTCACATTAAAAGTTTTATTGTTTTCAAGCACTGCAGCCCATTGTTATAAATGCTGACCAGATGGTGTGTCAAAAAGTTTCCTCTCTAAGGAAACCCAGCAGGTTTCAAGTCTCTCTAAGCAGCATTCTCTCCTCCTGAAAGATTGTAGAACCACATTGGATAGATGTCTGCATTTTTTATGTCTTAGCAGCAATCACTCATATTGAGCATGCATGAAGTGACAGTGGTTTCATATTCATAAGTTACACTGCTATCCTTAGGTTGGGAGAATTGATCTTTGCATATCTTACTGGGTTTTTGAGGCACTATTGGCTCATTTTTTTAAAGTAGGCTGACAGGAAAGGGGTTATGAGACGGAGGAAGAAATGCGGTAAAGGACCTTAGGCTGAGGACTAGGGCCTCTGTATGTAGCACCTGCTGAAAATTTGAAGCTGTTGGCTCTTTGAATGTAAAAGTTACGGGGGGATACAAAAAATATCAGTATCAGCCTGCCAAAATATGTATCCCCTTCTAAAATGGACTAAGAGTATCCCACATTCTAGATTTTTGGCACATAAACACATCTTATAATCACCAACAACTGTAGGAATTTTGAAGCTGTTGGCTCTTTCAATGTAAAAGTTACAGGGGGATACAAAAAATATCAGTATCAGCCTGCCAAAATATGTATCCCCTTCTAAAATGAACTGAGAGTATCCCACATTCTAGATTTTTGGCACATAAACACCTCTTATAATCACCAACAACTGTAGGAATTTTGAAGCTGTTGGCTCTTTCAATGTAAAAGTTACAGGGGGATACAAAAAATATCAGTATCAGCCTGCCAAAATATGTATCCCCTTCTAAAATGAACTGAGAGTATCCCACATTCTAGATTTTTGGCACATAAACACATCTTATAATCACCAACAACTGTAGGAATTTTGAAGCTGTTGGCTCTTTCAATGTAAAAGTTACGGGGGGATACAAAAAATATCAGTATCAGCCTGCCAAAATATGTATCCCCTTCTAAAATGAACTGAGAGTATCCCACATTCTAGATTTTTGGCACATAAACACATCTTATAATCACCAACAACTGTAGGAATTTTGAAGCTGTTGGCTCTTTCAATGTAAAAGTTACAGGGGGATACAAAAAATATCAGTATCAGCCTGCCAAAATATGTATCCCCTTCTAAAATGAACTGAGAGTATCCCACATTCTAGATTTTTGGCACATAAACACCTCTTATAATCACCAACAACTGTAGGAATTTTGAAGCTGTTGGCTCTTTCAATGTAAAAGTTACAGGGGGATACAAAAAATATCAGTATCAGCCTGCCAAAATATGTATCCCCTTCTAAAATGAACTGAGAGTATCCCACATTCTAGATTTTTGGCACATAAACACATCTTATAATCACCAACAACTGTAGGAATTTTGAAGCTGTTGGCTCTTTCAATGTAAAAGTTACGGGGGGATACAAAAAATATCAGTATCAGCCTGCCAAAATATGTATCCCCTTCTAAAATGAACTGAGAGTATCCCACATTCTAGATTTTTGGCACATAAACACCTCTTATAATCACCAACAACTGTAGGAATTTTGAAGCTGTTGGCTCTTTCAATGTAAAAGTTACAGGGGGATACAAAAAATATCAGTATCAGCCTGCCAAAATATGTATCCCCTTCTAAAATGAACTGAGAGTATCCCACATTCTAGATTTTTGGCACATAAACACCTCTTATAATCACCAACAACTGTAGGAATTTTGAAGCTGTTGGCTCTTTCAATGTAAAAGTTACAGGGGGATACAAAAAATATCAGTATCAGCCTGCCAAAATATGTATCCCCTTCTAAAATGAACTGAGAGTATCCCACATTCTAGATTTTTGGCACATAAACACATCTTATAATCACCAACAACTGTAGGAATTTTGAAGCTGTTGGCTCTTTCAATGTAAAAGTTACAGGGGGATACAAAAAATATCAGTATCAGCCTGCCAAAATATGTATCCCCTTCTAAAATGAACTGAGAGTATCCCACATTCTAGATTTTTGGCACATAAACACCTCTTATAATCACCAACAACTGTAGGAATTTTGAAGCTGTTGGCTCTTTCAATGTAAAAGTTACAGGGGGATACAAAAAATATCAGTATCAGCCTGCCAAAATATGTATCCCCTTCTAAAATGAACTGAGAGTATCCCACATTCTAGATTTTTGGCACATAAACACCTCTTATAATCACCAACAACTGTAGGAATTTTGAAGCTGTTGGCTCTTTCAATGTAAAAGTTACAGGGGGATACAAAAAATATCAGTATCAGCCTGCCAAAATATGTATCCCCTTCTAAAATGAACTGAGAGTATCCCACATTCTAGATTTTTGGCACATAAACACATCTTATAATCACCAACAACTGTAGGAATTTTGAAGCTGTTGGCTCTTTCAATGTAAAAGTTACAGGGGGATACAAAAAATATCAGTATCAGCCTGCCAAAATATGTATCCCCTTCTAAAATGAACTGAGAGTATCCCACATTGTAGATTTTTGGCACATAAACACCTCTTATAATCACCAACAACTGTAGGAATTTTGAAGCTGTTGGCTCTTTCAATGTAAAAGTTACAGGGGGATACAAAAAATATCAGTATCAGCCTGCCAAAATATGTATCCCCTTCTAAAATGAACTGAGAGTATCCCACATTCTAGATTTTTGGCACATAAACACCTCTTATAATCACCAACAACTGTAGGAATTTTGAAGCTGTTGGCTCTTTCAATGTAAAAGTTACAGGGGGATACAAAAAATATCAGTATCAGCCTGCCAAAATATGTATCCCCTTCTAAAATGAACTGAGAGTATCCCACATTCTAGATTTTTGGCACATAAACACCTCTTATAATCACCAACAACTGTAGGAATTTTGAAGCTGTTGGCTCTTTCAATGTAAAAGTTACGGGGGGATACAAAAAATATCAGTATCGGCCTGCCAAAAATGTGTCATCCTTTTACAGAGCACAGAGAGTGGTTAAACTGCATGTGTTTTTCAACTGCATCTATATGAAATGCCAAAAACCTTTCAAACTTTCAACAACTGTAATGTTTATTTATTCATATAAACTATATACAGAATAGTCAGAACTACTAAAAATTTTCTAACAAAAACAAGCAGGACAAACAAAGGCCTTCTCTGGTGATGGGTTATTCATGCAGATCTGGTGAAACCAGCGAAGACAAACATCGCACTGTATCTGGAAAAAAAAGGTACATGTAGAACACTTTCAACATCAGTGGTGCTTATACATATTAGGAAAATTCCTTAAAACATCATAACCACTGATGAAACTTTACCAAAAAATGTCCCAATTTTATATTAGTTTATGTTTTTACCCAGTTGAAATCGTTTTCGTGTTCCTCTTCCCCACAGTAACGACAAATGTTCGAAAGGTTATCTGTTAATCGTGAAAACAAAACAGATAATGGATAGTTAATCTATAGTTCTGTGATATCATATAACATAAGTTTTGGTGATTGGGAATATTTTGAAAAGTGGCATAACATTTCTTTTTCTTTTGAAAACGTATGCTGGATATAAACATGCAATGTTTAGTCTGTTGTGTTCCTACTGTTTGCAAATTTGTAGTTTTTATTTGTTGATAAGGCTTTAAGATTGCTCAACACTTTCTAGGTGTATACAGAAAAACATTTTTTGTTTGACATGTGCTACTAGAAATTATTTAAAGAATTCATAATTTTATGAGATCTGGTGTTTTACAACCTCCTGTAAAAGATCTGAAAACTATTGAATAACAAAGATGTCAAAAACATGAAAATATTATTTTAGTATCACACATTTCTTTGTAGCATATAAATTACCTGTCTGTAGAAGAAGTTTTACTGCAATTTCCCTTCTATGCTGAGTAATGGCCGTGGAGTTTGTTTGAAAAACCATTTCCTCTCTTCTGAGCAGTTTTTCTGCAAACTGACATTCCAAGATAAAGGTTACAAAGTTTAAAATGTTCAATATATACAACTGCAAAATAGCCAACACATATAATGATGATAAGGGAGAAAGCACATACTTTCAACACAAACACACCGCATGAGGTACTGTCTGTCTGTTTCGGATGCTGAACAGTGTCACATTTCCATCTGGAGACTTTGCATCCTTTGTTTCTCATGAAGGCCCTACAACAAGACAAAGGAAAACATTCTATCTGTCAGTAGATGGATGGATGGATGAATGGATGGATGAATGAATGAATGAATGAATGAATGAATGAATGAATGAATGAATGAATGAATGAATGAATGAATGAATGGATGGATGGATGGATGGATGGATGGATGGATGATGCATGCGTGCACAAGTGTGCGGTGGTCTTCCTTACCTTGTAGTTTCCAAACATTGTTTAATGTCTTGTTTGGACTCCCCCAGTGGATCCAAGAGCAGGGATCTCTTTTCATGAGAATAAATGACCTTGAAAAGCAAGTATGAATTATGATAAACAATACTATTTCAGGAATCAGTGTTGTTTCTTTTTGTCTAAAGTGTCATTTACGGCTAATTTCCAGTGATGATGGTCATTTATAACTCCAAGTAAAACTTCATGATCCATGGGTTTTATCTGAAAAACATAAAACATTTGAAAAACAACAACAAATGGTTTTACAAATTCAGCTGTCAAAAGAATAACACTAAAAATATGAAAATAAAGAAAACCCTTTAATTGAATAACAGTATTTCCTCAAGACAGTTTTTATTTACATTCTTATATGTGACAGGTTATTCGTTGCATTTCAAAAATTTAAATCATTAACTTAATATAGAAAGATCATGAATGAAATATTATTACTCTGCATTTGTAAGTATGTTGAAAATATATTTTTAGGTTATACAGACCTTAAGCCTTCCAAATTGTCCCTTCCAAATTGCAGTCATTGCAAAGGAGTCAATCAGAGCTGCTTTTCCTTTGTTGCTGCAATTGTGGTCACGGACCAATAGCCTCATATAGGCATTAATGGACTGTTAAGGAAATGGTCATAGATTTAGCAAAATGCACTTAGTTATGTGGCTAACTAAAGAACACTTAAAATTATGAGCAGTACTATGTACCTCACTTTCCAGTTCCATGTTGGGACCAATTTGTTTAATGTCCCAATAATAGATTTTGTATGGCCCGATTTTGGAAAGGAGAACATGTGAAACATTTCCTTCCCATGCTTCCTGGACATCTATTGAAAAATATAAAGAAACACAACTGTCAATAAAGGATGCAGCTGCTACTCAAGCAACAAACTGTTGTGCCATAGCACACACATTTCCCTGCAAAACAAAGGCATACTGAAATATGCATGATTTTGGTAGTTGATCAAAATTACATGTACAACATGATTAGATATAGGTGTTTTTATAAATCAGAGCCAAAAACATTCTTACATTTCTCAACAACAGCCGTTGTGTATGTTTCCTCAGAACAGGGCTTTGACGGCTGTGGTGGAGTCGCTGGAGTCGGTGTTACAGCTTCTACTGCTGGGTCAGAACAGGGCTTTGACGGCTGTGGTGGAGTCGCTGGAGTCGGTGTTACAGCTTCTGCTGCTGGGTCAGAACAGGGCTTTGACGGCTGTGGTGGAGTCGCTGGAGTCGGTGTTACAGCTTCTACTGCTGGGTCAGAACAGGGCTTTGACGGCTGTGGTGGAGTCGCTGGAGTCGGTGTTACAGCTTCTGCTGCTGGGTCAGAACAGGGCTTTGACGGCTGTGGTGGAGTCGCTGGAGTTGGTGTTACAGCTTCTACTGCTGGGTCAGAACAGGGCTTTGACGGCTGTGGTGGAGTCGCTGGAGTCGGTGTTACAGCTTCTGCTGCTGGGTCAGAACAGGGCTTTGACGGCTGTGGTGGAGTCGCTGGAGTCGGTGTTACAGCTTCTGCTGCTGGGTCAGAACAGGGCTTTGACGGCTGTGGTGGAGTCGCTGGAGTTGGTGTTACAGCTTCTACTGCTGGGTCAGAACAGGGCTTTGACGGCTGTGGTGGAGTCGCTGGAGTCGGTGTTACAGCTTCTGCTGCTGGGTCAGAACAGGGCTTTGACGGCTGTGGTGGAGTCGCTGGAGTTGGTGTTACAGCTTCTACTGCTGGGTCAGAACAGGGCTTTGACGGCTGTGGTGGAGTCGCTGGAGTCGGTGTTACAGCTTCTGCTGCTGGGTCAGAACAGGGCTTTGACGGCTGTGGTGGAGTCGCTGGAGTTGGTGTTACAGCTTCTACTGCTGGGTCAGAACAGGGCTTTGACGGCTGTGGTGGAGCTGCAGGGATAGTATTTCTTGGTTGCGGATGATTGTGGGGCACCCTGGGTGTGCTCTCAACAGCTAACTTGAGCTGATCAGTACTAATTTTGTTAAATACATTCCCTTTCTCATCTTGCAGATCAGCACATTTTCCTTTTATTGCTGTGATGACATATGGGCCAAAGTAGCATCTTTCCAGCTTCCCCCCTTTTCTTTGTTGGCTTCTGACATTTTGTCTCCATACTTTCTCCCCAACTTTGAAAACCACTTTGCTATCAGACTTATTTTTGCTTCTGGTTTTTTCATGTCCCTCATCAAGATTTTTTCTGACTTTCTCAAAGAGTAGTATCTGCTCCTCAATTCCCTGCGCTAAGTCCTCTGACGCCACTGCATCCTCGATGCTGCTGTCAATCTTGATAAAGTAACAGAAAGTTTAGATTAAGAAAGTGTGATTTTAATGTGTTACAATTGTCTGTTAATATTACATTTAGAAAGTTGAAGGAGCCAGCCTGCTCTTTCAGAACATTTCACACTGTTATGATACATATTAAAGGAAGTCCATAAAAAAATGTAACATCAATTTTATGATACATATTTTAACAGAGACATCAGTACACCTTTGGTTTTCTCTATGTAGCTAACTGTCTGACATGCACTTTGCATCATCTTGTTTCTTAAAAGTGTGATATGAACAAACTTGCTATCCGTGTGAATAAAAAACACTAAACACATAATCACTAAACATAATATCAATACCTCAACCTCCTGGGGAATTTCAGAGGGATATCGAGCCTCTCTCCCAAACATAATGTAGTAAGGGGAGTACTTTGTGGTCATCTGTTTTTTTGTCCGCAGACCAAACATGACTGGTTCCAGAAAGTCATCCCATTTTTCTGGATGACCTCCAGTAACTTTACTCAAGGCTCTAGGATTGAGGAGATTTTAATGATTTAGTATCAGAATCAGTTTCTCATATTCTAGAGCTTTTCACAAGTCAATCTGCACAAAATTGTAGTAGATAATTATTTGATGGTTTGGGAGCAGAAATGATAACAAATGACTCACCTCTGAATTGTCCCATTCATCCTTTCAACCAGCCCATTAGTTTGAGGGTGGTAAGGACAGCAGAGGCTCCTTTCAATCCCCAGGATGTCACACACTTTTTTGTTAATCTGGAGTGTTAAAGGAGTTTTTTAATACAATGTAACCACGTGGTATACAGTCCAAAATACATTTAAGGTGTCGATTTAAAAGTGTATAGATAGATAGATCTATATATATATCTATAGATAGATCTATATAAGAACAGCAAGAGTTCTTATGAAAATCAACAAGAGGGATCATATTTCTCCAACTTTAGCTTCCCTTCATTGGCTTCCTGTTAAATTAAGAATAGAATTTAAAATTCTTCTTGTAACGTATAAAGCCCTTAATAATCAAGCTCCATCATATATCAGAGCTCTGATTACCCCGTATGTTCCTAACAGAGCACTTCGCTCTCAGACTGCAGGTCTGCTGGTGGTTCCTAGAGTCTCTAAAAGTAGAATGGGAGGCAGATCCTTTAGCTATCAGGCTCCTCTCCTGTGGAACCAACTCCCAGTTTTGGTCCGTGAGGCAGACACACTGTCTACTTTTAAGACTAATCTTAAAACTTTCCTTTTTGACAAAGCTTATTTTTAGGAGGCTTATGTTACTCTGAGCTCCCTCTATAGTTATGCTGCTATAGGCTACTGGAGGACATCAGGGTCTAATTTTCTAAGTTTCTTACTCTACTGAGTTCTATTCTTTAATTTTTGTCTCGCTTGTCGTATTTTCTGTTTTTAACTTCTTTTGTTCTCTCTTTTCTTCATAGTAGGTACACCTGGTCTGGCGTTCTGATTAGCTGTGACATCATCCATGGAGGACAGATCACCCACTATAACCATCTAATGTAGAACAGATTACTGGATCAATGTGAGCTTCTGTGATTGTTTGTCTCTCTTGTTGTGTCTCTGCTCTGTCATCTGTAAACCCCAGTCGGTCGAGGCAGATGACCGTTCATACTGAGCCTGGTTCTGCTGGAGGTTTTTCCTTCTCGTTAATGGGGAGTTTTTCTTTCCACTGTCGCTTCATGCTTGCTCAGTATGAAGGATTGCTGCAAAGCCATGGACAATGCAGACGACTCTCCCTGTGGCTCTACGCTTCTTCAGGAGTGATGCTGCTTGTCAGGACTTTGATGCAATCAACTGGTTCCCTTATATAGGAAATTATTTGACCAATCTGTATGATCTGACCCAATTTGTATAATCTGATTGATTTTGATTTTGTAAAGTGCCTTGAGATGACATGTTTCATGAATTGGCGCTATATAAATTGAATTGAATTGAATTGAATTGAATTGAATAGATAGATAGATAGATAGATAGATAGATAGATAGATAGATAGATAGATAGATAGATAGATAGATAGATAGATAGATAGATAGATAGATAGATAGATAGATAGATAGATAGATAGATAGATAGATAGATAGATAGATAGATAGATAGATAGATAGATAGATAGATAGATAGATAGATAGATAGATAGATAGATAGATAGATAGGTACTTACAGAATTCACAAATTCGCTCCCCTGGTCAGTAAGGATCCTCTTGGGGGCTCCAAAACGATAAAAAAATTTGAGGATACACTCAGTGACCTCCTTGGCAGACTTGGTTTTTAACGGATAAGCCTCCGACCACTTAGTGAAGTAGTCCACCATAACACAGATATACTGGTTCCCTTTTGTTGTGGTTGTCAGTTTACCAATTAAGTCCATCCCGACCAGTTCAAGTGGCTGAGAAACCTGAAACAAGACAATATATTTTCAATATAAAAACACAAACCATCTCTTCCACACAGAGCTTCATTTGGGAAACTTTCAAAAGAGTTTATCTTTTAAATAAAATTAAGTCTCTTAAACTGTCCTTTATGTCTTTTTGGCATTAAGTTTGTACTCCTTCATGAAAACGGGCAATATTAATGGACAAACCTTTATTGGCGTAAACTCCGATGGTTTCTTGAGACATGGAGTGCTGGCTTGACAGTCTAAGCACTGGGAGACCTAAAGTACAGAATGTTATGTAATGAAGAACAAAACTCAAAGGTAAAAACAAGTGATGTATAATAAATGAAGAAATAACTGGAATCAAATGTCGAAGATTTATCAAATTTACTGAAAGTTCTATTTTGTGTATATAATGCTTACTGTAATGCTACAGCTCGCTGTGTTTGTTTTGGTTATGTGTTCTGTGTTACTCACTGCTCTGTTTTCCTTATTAGCTCCATGTAGCAATACCTGTTACCCCTAAATAGTGGTAGGGACTCTGGGGTGCTTCTCGGACTGCCTATTCACTGCTACACAGCTCACAAGCTAGTATGTGCAAAGCCTGTTGTTTGTACTTCCTCACATAAGCACCAAGCAAGTGCAACTCGTGGACCCATTGATTGTATGCAGCATCATCTACCGGGCGGATACTGACAATGTTAGTGGCTTTTATTCTGTGTTCACCACTTTCCACTGAGATGTCTGAAGCAGCTAACCTTATTCTCTCTTACAGGGGTTCCTGAGTGCGCTCCAGACAGTTTCCAGCCTGTCAACGCTTTTTGCTTAAAAAAAACTTTTAAGCCTATTTTGGTGTCATAGCTAAATTACCAGGTCCTCTACTTGTCTTGTTACAGCATACATACCCATTTGTTGATGTCGACTGACATGCCAGGCCAGTAGTATCTTTGAGAAATTGCTTCTCTTGTTTTAGTTTGGCCACAATGGGCCCCAGTAGAGCTGCAGTGAAAATCTTTGAAAATTTTGTCTGCATTTTCAGCACCGCAGACCACTTCTGTTTTGAGGCTTCTGTCGGTTCCTTTGTGACGCCAATAAAACAACTCTTCCCCTAAAAAAAGCAAATCATTAAAAATTAAATTAAGTTTAAGCAGAGTTTAAAAAAACTGTGCACATTTGAAGCTTTCAGAACATGTTGAGTATCTGCTGGTCAGAAGAAATAAAGGAACACTTTGAAAACAGAGGATTTATCTGGACAAATACTCCAGCTTGACATCCATGCTTATGTTAGAAACAGTGTTCTGTTTTATTTTATGAAAATTATCATCCCACTGAGGACTAAATATGATCAAGCGGCCCAATTTGCTGACATGTCATTTTAGCAATTAAAAAGGATGGTACTTAGTAGTTTGTTTGTCTGCTACAGCAGAGTATCCATGCCTGACAGCCTTGGAAAATCCTTGTGAAAAGATGGCACATGGTTTCCAGGGGTATCTGCTCCCAGATGATGACCTGGTCATCACTAAGCTCCTGGGCAATGTGAGGTACAACATTTGGGTGTCCTATAGGCCTAAAAAGGATGTGTGGGAGATTGTTTGCTGCATTTATTTGGGGAAATGTGGAGGCCATGCAGTGGTGTCACTTCCTCCTCCGGGAGTCACATGGAGACTCTTGCCATGTGATATAGTATATAATGGAGCAGGAGGAATTCAGGCCTTACTGCAGTAGCAAAGGGCCTAACAAAAGGTCAGAGAATTTCATCCTGACCTCTAATGACAGACAATATGCAAATGTTTATCTTGGATACATCTGAACATCTCTCCATGGAAATACCTCCCCAGACAGACATTGACCCAATAAGTCAATCATCATGAACATTGTAGCAGCAATGTCACATTCCATGCAAGTTCCACAGACCCTTTCATTTTTTTCACATGAGCTTACAATAAACCTGCTCTCAATCATGATAAGAGCAGGGGAGCATTCTCAAACTTCCTATTTTGGTGTTCACTCACAAATATTAGGAGGGATTCACTGTATCACTTGGGGAGCACAGGGCCAATAAAAGGATGCCAGATCCTCAGATCACGCTATGAATTCTGTTTATAAAGGTTTGATTAGACATTCACGCCAGTGGCCGACTGGAGGTGAATTTGAAGGGCTGTAGTACAACTTATCCTGCTTCTTCCACTGTATTCTGGTAATGGCATATATTGAGGTATCATCCTGGTTAAAATGGACTACCTCGGAGACCTCTGACCCAGGCAAGTTATCAAAAAGTTCCATTGTACAGTTTTTCTGTGCAGTTTTTAAAGTATGTAATTTGCACATACTTTTACAGTGTTCTTCTTTATGTCAAGCAACTGTCAGGCCTACAAATTAATAAGAGTTTCATAATTGACAGACAAATCCACTGTCGCTTCATGCTTGCTCAGTATGAGGGATTGTTGCAAAGCCATGGACAATGCAGTCGACTCTCCCTGTGGCTCTGCGCTTCTTCAGGAGTGATGCTGCTTGTCGGGACTTTGATGCAATCAACTGGTTCCCTTATATAAGAAATTTTTTGACCAATCTGTATGATCTGACCTAATCTGTATAATCTGATTGATTTTGATTTGGTAAAGTGCCTTGAGATGACATGTTTCATGAATTGGCGCTATATAAATAAAATTGAATTGAATTGAATTGAAATCCATGCATCATGTTTAATATGAATGTAGACACAAAAGCATATAAACTTCTGTAGATATAGTGACCAAAAACCTAATTTAATTATAGAGTCCTGCCTTATGTAAACTTTGGAAAGTTGTGATATGAAATCCTGACACTCCTCACAATGCAGAAAAATAAGTAAAATAATGTAAACGTTCTTTTTATGACTGAAATGTATAGTTTCTTTTTTTAAAATAAACTGCTCTCAAAAGACCAAAAGTAATTACTCTTTTTTCAGCATCAACGCTGTTATATTACGAAAAGATGTCTCTACCTTCAATGCTGTAAATTGCAGCTTTTCGTCGCAAAAGTAATTTTTCTCTCTTGTTTAAAAGAGCTGGGTAAACTCCATTGAGTTTATATGTCACAATTGTTGCATACTCTGCTGGATTCATTTTTGTCGATGTATAGATTTTTCAAGCCACTTCGAAAATGTGCACTGTCAGCTAGCGAAACATTCAGCTAATACGTCACCTAATTTGCATAATTAATAACTATGGCGAGAGACAAAGTCCTATAAGCGATCTTGGGATGGAGTATTTTAAGAATAGGTCAGAGCTATACTACAGTTTATGTGTATGTTTAATTGCACAATGTTTTTGCAAATTTGTAATGTGACGAGGATCATGTATTTCAGTGTCATGAGAACAATGTATGTTTTAAATCACCAACACACTGTTATTTTAGT